GGCTTGTTTTACAACGTCGTTGCCAAGCGACGAAAACCCAACCCCGATGGCAAACACCGGGGGCGGACGTCCCGTTTGGGGGGAGGGAATGTTTTCCTTTTGACCTGACACTCGATTTTTTCCGATGTTGCGGTTTTTGTGACAACGTTGTGTGCGTTTTGATGAAAACCCAAGCTATCATTTCCCAAGGTGCACAGCGTGACCTGATTAGACAACAACATTTTTGCAGCTTGTGGATGCATGGTTGTATTCTACCTTTCGGTAACCCGTTAGGTGGACAACGTGTTAGCTCTCACACCTTGGGCATGCTTTCTCTTTTCTTGCAAATCATGCTCCTAGAGATATCAACGCACGCTTTCCGACGTCTTTCTACAAGAGGTATATCCGGCTAACAATGCCAAACGATGATTTTGTGGCCAACCTCTTTTTTTGGATACCCTCACACAGAACACTCCGGTAAAAGTATACCACACGTCCCTTTGTGCCGCCTTATTTTATTGCTTGGCCGCTCCAGAGCGCGAGCAACATCTAGTGCGCCTCGCCAAGGCCGAGGTGGATACGGCAATGGCAAAGACCTTCAAGGTGAGGAACTTCACCACCGACGCTGGCGGAATGCCGGTGTAGCTCGTTCACATCCATGCTTCGCGAGGCGGGCTGGTGTATGCTGGTGATAAATGCGAAAGCCGCGGTGGTGGTGGCAGCAACAACAACAACAACAACAACAACAACAACAACAACAACGACAACGACAACAAACGTAGCCCAGCCTTGATTCCTCGCCACAAGACCAACTCTTTTCCGTCATCCTTATAAGCGGGGCCTGTTGCAGGCCCCAATATTTATTGCTGCAGCTGCGCACGCTTTCAGTCTGCCGTAACGTTTTTGCCTTTGTTGTCTCCTTCCGTCTCCTTCAAGTGTGCGTCTGGACGTTGTTTGTTTTGTTTTGTTTTTTCCTTCTCTCGAATTTTCAATCCCCGCCATCAAACCACCGTTATACCGTCCATTGTGAGGCCTTTAGCACGTGGCTGCGTATTTCGGTGTCAGTCGGGGGTGGAGTATCATCCAGCGTTGCTGGCGGTCGTGTACGCGCAGGCGGCGTGATGCGAGGATCGTAAAGAGTGGCTCGATTTGTTCCTGGAAAAGCGTAGGTGAGGTAATGTTTGCGGCTTCATATGTCTGTAGCTTAACTACCTTTGGTATTTTGTAAATGACCTCACCTACAGTCCAAAATAATCCCCCTCGCGCAAGGCGTCATCGTTGGGATCCCGCAAGAGGCCTCGCCAGGCTGGGGGATTCAACAAGGCGTACGATCGAACCGGAAAGCAGGTTCACTCGGATTTTGCTGCCGGAGGTGAGAGTCATGAATGCGTGTAATTATTGATGTAGTTGTTGATGATGGTGTTGGTAAGGTCGTCGTCGTCGTCGACGACGACGTTGTTGTTGCTGCTCTTGTTTCATTGTATCGTTACTGTACCACACGTCTCGCCGGAACCCAAAGAAATATTGAAACCTCTTGCGAGAATCCGCGAACAATATTTTAATCTCAGTTGTTTCCGTAATACCATCGTCTACCGCGCGTTGTGCAGTAGTCATCAGTCCCCTGTACTGCAGCTGTTCCTGCATCCAAGCCGCCTTTATCGCTTCTGTTGTTCTTGCTGTTGGTGCTATCTGGGGTGCACGCCGACATTTGTTTCTAATCATCCTGTGTTTCCTTCCCATCGTTTTCGTCCCGACCCCGTCCACCGCCTGCTGCGTGACACATCACGGTACGGTACACGGGATACGGTGCCACCTGGGTTATCCATTTTCAGGCTTCGCGCGTTGGATGGGTTCAGCCTCGAAGGGGTGGCCCACGTTCAGGCACCGACTTCCGGAAGTAGCCCTGGCGGGTGAGACGGGCTTCAAACTTGCGGTCTCGGACCGTGTTTTTTTAGGAAGTACACATATTCTCACAGAAAAACTACCGTAATAGTCGGAGATATGGCACCGGTCGGAGAGATGGCACCGGGGTGCGCAGAAAGTACCAGAACGGCACGATTTTATTCGATTTACGCGCCGGGGCCGGAGAGATCGCACCGGGTGCGATCTCTCCGACCCCCAAATCCACGATTGAGCTCCTTTTCAGCTGCCAGAATGAAGTACATGTGCTACCTTTTACATGTTGGGACGGTGTCAGGGGCGCCGCCACTCCGGTACGTTCGTATGCGTGGTCGCGGTTTCACGCGGGATGCCAGTTGTTTTCATTTAATAATTGGTATGGAAATTGCCAACCGTACGCTCAACGAACCAACACGCAAGCACCCTACCCCACCTTGCACAACTCGAAAAAACTACGTTTATGTACTGCTTCGTACGTACTGGTATCCGTAGAGGAAGCCCGAAACGAGAGCGGGAGATAACTGACACCGAATGTACCAGTACCTCAGATGGATACGGCATTGTTCGTTGTTTCCAAGCCAGAGCCGAACTCGCATCAAACACAAGACCACTCCCTGCATGCACCAGCCAAAGTTGCCGTTATCGGTGTGCTCCCAACCAGCAACGGTGCCTACACGTGGTGATATTAGTACTAGTACAGATAGATGGCACCGGGGTGCGTGCGTACAACACCTGTGTGTATTTCATCGGGGATCGCACCGGTCGGAGAGATCGCACCGGGGTGCCATGAAAACACTAAACGAACTGATTTAGTTGCATGTTCCGCACCGGGGTCGGAGAGATGGCACCGGGGTGTGATCAAAACTCAGAGGGAAAACACTCAAAAAACGATCGCACCCGGTGCCACTCTCCGACTCTTCTTACTACGTTATTTAGTAATAGTATGCATGGCATGATGTGGTAGAATTTATTTGTGGTCCTTTCGCAACCACGCGTTGTTGTTGTTGGTTGTTTCAGCCTTCCAACTCTTTCGCGAAGGACGGGGACCAAGGCATACACACAACAAGATGCTGCGCGCCGTGTCTCGCGCCCAGCGCTGCCGTGTGGTCGTGACGCGTGAGCGTGAGGAGGTGGCAGCGCAACCTGCTGCGTTATTGGGGAGTGCTGCTGTGCAGCTGTGAGGTCCGTATTAGAACAACCTCTCGGCTACCAATCCAGCGCGTTCCGTATCTCTGCCTGTCTGTGTGTGTTCTGAAATAAATGTGTTGTTCCCTGTATAACAATTTGTTTGTATGTGTAGTCTAGTCCCTTCTTGCTAACTAAATGGGTTGTGTGAGGAGAGAGGTGAAAGGGAAACTACGCGGGGTGCAGCAAGCCCGTGCTGGGCGTTACTTGGGGCACTGGGTAGTCGGTCGTGTTAGGCCGAGAGTGAGAGATTGAGAGAGTGGTGGAGAGAGAGTGGGAGAATGAAACTTGATTGGAGAGAGACGGCGGTAGCGGTGGAAGGAGAGAAGGAAGAAAGAAGTGCGCAACACGCGCGCAAGCCTCATCGTTCCAACCGCGCCAAAAGGGTCTCCGTGACTGCACCAATGGTACCCTACACCACACGAAATTCCCAACACGTATACCCTTGGGATCCTGACGACCAGATACTGCTGCGAGTATATCTAATAAGAGGAGGTGTGACTTCCCAACTAATTCTTGCGTGCATTTATTCCCGCCAAATCATAGACTAGATAGAG